TGTTTTTGAAATGTTTCCTTTTGAAATTGTTCTCACTGACAATTTTTGTTATGTGAGGAGAACTTAAGCCTGGCTAACCTGATAATCTCGGCATCTAGAAACAGCCCCTCAACCTATATATACACTTTATTCAAAGTTCTGTCTGTTGTGTATTCGGACAAGAGAACCGGAGTAATACTATAGATTACGCAGTGAATCGGGGCAAGTGTTCTGCACAACTGCTTTACTAGAACTGAACAAAACTAATCTATGTACAACGATATAATAGTATAATCACGTGACTGCGGTTTAGGGTGAGCTGACCAATGATTACTGGATTACAGATTATCGAACAACTAAGGTATTCATATTAAAAATAAGAAAAAACACTACGCTGACAATCAATCATACTTGTTAACATGTAATAGGTAATAAGAAACTATTTACTGAAATGTTAGTTGATTAATGTTTATCAAATCTCATTGTGTATACTCTTTGAGAGAAAAAAAAAAGGTTGATTGTCACGCTCGCAGAAATTCCAACTCGAAGTAGACAGATCCGTGATCAAACATGAAATCCCCTGGGAAGTCGATTCTCTTGGCGTTGCTGAGCTCACAGAGACGAGAAGATGTGTGGAAATTGAATGAGTAGCATGATTTATGCCTGATGCACAGAAGTGCACATTTAAAATCGTCTGTTGTAGTACGTGACATTACGGTGTGCTGCACAAGTGAGTGTTGTGTGACCACAGGAAAGATGATTGCGTTTGACGGTCTGGCAACTTAAAAATAAATAAAGAAGATAACAAAACAAACTGTTAAAATGATTCTCGTTTCAATTCGCTTTGCCTTACTCAACATTCAGGTTGATCAGATATGGGACGCCAAGTATATAAATTGTTTCAGCCGCTTCTAAAGTTCTGATATTACGATATCGTTGTTAAAAAAAAAATAATAATAAAATGTGAACCAAGTCAAAGGGTAGTATATTGAGATTCTCTCTAACTTCAGTAAGCTGGATTCTCCTTTATAACAAACTGCTCGATTGATCCGAATTCTGCACAAATAAAAATGAATTTCTTTTTAGTAACATAGTTCCATAAACAAGTTGGACAACCTGTCACCTTCAAACTGCTATCTAGTCTATCTAGTCTACTCTCGTACCAAGATCTAGCAAGATGGCGCCCTATAAGGAGAGGCGATCCGGGTGCAACTTAACTTTCCATACAATATATACGCCTACTGTTTTGAACTTCATAGCCGATTAACCAATTTTCAAGCCTAGGAGGACGTAAAGAGGTCGATAGCTAGAGATGGTACCTAGCGAGGTTTTTACTGGTATGATAACTCATCACAACTTGTTGAGTACCTGAACAAAGAGCCAGTGCGATTTTTAAAGCGTTATCTGTCGGTGACATTTCCCTGAATGACGCGAAACGAAACACATGACTCTCGTCGGAGGCCAAAGCTTTGAGTTCAGCCGCGTCAACCTTGGAACCAATTCCCAATGCAAAGATGACTACCCCATCATCCTTCAGCTGTTTCGACTGTTGTTCATAACCTGCGCAAACAATTTAAAGGATTAGAGACAAGATGGCAAATACGCCCGATTTTATTTTGTTAAAGATACTGTTTAACGTACTGATCAGCTGTCTAATCTATTGGACATAAACATTTTCTCACCCTGATTGCTTTTTCCATCAGTAATCGCTAACAAGACATCGGGCATATTCTTTCTCCTTTCACCTTGTTTAGAAAATAACACTTCTCGAGTCTCTTTGAGTCCCAGGTCCATCCGCGTAGACCCACCGTCATAATCCATTTTCCTCACGATCGACTTAATTATTTCGACGTTTTGCCGAGACGTGAATGAAATCTCTGTTCTTGCGCTAGAACTGAAACTAACCACACCAACGTTTGTGTCTGAAAAGAACACAAAGAAGTGGCCGTAATAACGAGGTGACCGTAAGGGGGTGGGGTTCCACTGTGTATTAAGGGTAAAATTGAACCGCAACATACAAACACAAGAAAAACCTAATGGAGTCATCTCGTGAGGACAAGTTTTGTAGGGATACTATGTCTCCTCGTATGAACAGTACATGATTTTATCTCTGCTGCATATGTCATAATGTCAACAACATGATTCCTCGTGAATACCTCACAGTTTAGGGACGTTGAAAGCAAACTGATTTAAATGGATAGAATTGCAATCATCTTAGTTCTTCTTTAATTACCTGTGGGCGAAATGTGAAAACAATCAATAACTTCGTTGATAAATGTTTTCATATCTTGGTAGCTGACATTACCAATACTGCCTGATGAGTCTAACAAGAAAGCAATATCCAGTGCAAAGGGACAAACTGAAACAAAACACATAAGAATGAAATTTTATTCTGAGTTGTGGAAATTAATTATACTACTATAAAACAAAATGTTTGATCTATTAACATAGAGGCAATTGATATTGTAAATTGTTTTATTTATTTTTTGTATGTTAAACTTTTGATATTGACGCTGAAGGCCCTTCATCTGCTTAAACAGTGTTTTCTTGGCGACCTTTATGATGGGCAATAAGCTTCAGCATTTTCGAATTGTCAATTTCAGAAATGCTTTCCAAATTTCATCTGAAACTTAGGAGAAATTCATTGATGTGAAAAGTGATCTAAAGATTTAAAAACTTTTTTAAAACTGGCTCATTGGATAACGCAATTTAAGCGTTTTTATCGCCTTAGCCATCACGGTATATGAGCCATTATACCATGCCCTACAAATATGGATCAATATGATAAGCGTGCGCGTAATTGTTTTGGGCGTTTTTATTTTCATTTATTTTGGGGGCGTTTTCAATGAAAGAATTATTCCACTCACGCTTGTTGGATATGAGACTGATGATTATAGCCAACGAGGCGCGTAGGTATCTGTCATCTCATATCCAACACGCGCTCGTGGAATAATTTTTAAAAGCTGATCAGCATAGTGACTGAGCGATCAAAAGGCCGTATGAGTTGAAAAAAAAAGTGTTCATTAAAATTGTTGATTCTTACCTGCAGCAGATGTGTTCATAAACGTTACTTGAAGCTGGTAAAGAGAAAAGAGAAAACAAGTGGCAAAAATAAATAAATAATAAAAAAAAAAATGACTGGTGTAATTGTTGTTTCTGGCTTCAGTTGCCTTAAAGACTTGTCCCTGGTAGTCATTACGCTCTAATCTGCGATCAGACGTTCTTTTTTCGGCGAGACATGTGCCACAGACATGGGTCTCAATCCGCAGAGCGAAATTAATAATAACGGAAATGAAAGTTCCTCATGAAAACAGTGATAAATCCGAAAACTGGGCAATAGAACCAACCTAAGATTAAAAAAAAAAATAGTTGTTGATGGTCTCTTCAAACCGCTGAGTTTATGAATGGTAAATGCGGATGACTTTGATGTTTTTTTAGAGAGAGAAAAATACCCAACGAAAGAGGCTGTCGAGTTTATAAGAAAACCTAACTGGACCTGACTGGAGATGCGCGCGGGAGTTGAGTAAATGTAAATCAAAATCTAAAAATCAGCAAAGCTGATCGAACAACATGCTTAGCTTTTTGTGTGTTTTTCAAAGCTCCATTGGAGTGAACAGTTTGCACTCTAAAGAGTAATCGAATTGGTTCTACTGCTGTGTAGTTTTGGGACCGCTCAAAAACCAAATAGTCGTCTTAAAGGTTGTCTGATCACTGAAAGTAGCAAATTACTTTTTTCAGCAACAACTTTTTTTCACTATCTGTAACAAAAGATGTAATGATAAGTTATATTATCTTCTGATGAGATCTCCAAATTTCACTCGCTCGAAACTGCTAAAGAATTTTTCTAGAAAATATAAACGAACGTCTCTGAAATATCATCTAAGTTGTTTGATTAAGGATCGAAGTGGCTTAGTTTTCTTACCACTGACCTGCAAAAGGAAGAGTGCTTTTTTCAAAGTCGCTTTAAATATGTCCATTTTGCATCCTGTTTTGGTGCAAGGCCTTCGATATTGTTGCATTGTTATTTGAACTGCTCGATGGACGCGAAGCAAAATCGAATAAACACATTAGTGCGTTTCCTTTGTATTGATACGCTGCAGTGTAATTCAGCTGCTTAAACTCAAGAAAAATCATAAAAGCAATTTGAAAAGGTGCGATTTCGAAGTGATTTGTATGTCAAACCCTGATTGGAGGGGTGTCAATTTCACATAGACAGTTCATTTACCTCTTTATGACGTATCAAACCCATTCCTTCACACGACATTACTTGTAATCGAGGCTGTTATGTAATGTAATATTCAAGATGGCGGTCGCGCTGTGGAGAGGTAAGTGGGGTTGCGTTCGTTGGTTTTTGGGTTTTAAAATGTGCTCCAATTTCCCACGATACAAAATTTAATATTTGGTTGCTAATGTAATAATTTTTGTATTAATACTGAACTCTGATTCTGCTACTGGTGATTTAGTCGATGTTTTGTCTGGTCTATGTGATCTGCTCTTTATCAGTAAGATTTTATGTGTTACGTATGTTCATAGATGCTCGTTTAGTTAAGTTACTGACCACTTATTTAGGTAT